ATTCCTGCTTTGTTGTTGTGCTTGGATTGTTGGACTGCCCCAGCCTCTGCAGGTCATGTGCTTGAAATGTAATTGGGCATAAATCCTACAGCTGTTTGATGTGTTCACACAGTTTTTTACATTGCTTTTATGGAGTTAAAAGAAGCTGAAATTACACGTGTGCATCTAGATGTGTCTGTAAACTTGTAAGCCAGCTTGAAGTTGAGATTTTAGTCACACTGAGAGCATGGGTTTCAGGTGGGGAAGCAAAACAGACCTCAGAATTTGGTCTGGACCATCATATTTTAAAATGGAATTAGCTTGCCTGCTTCTGAACACAGACACATTGGCATCTATGCAGGGCCTGATCTGTTTAAAACATCTCAGTTAACAATAGTCAGTATTAGGTGATAACATATTATGCATGTAGTGTTAGAATATAGCTTTGTTTCCCAATCTAAATGCAGGACATTTCTGACCTTCTGCGTACCTCAGAAAAAAAAAAGCCCTAGCACTCTATGCAAAGAACACATTTTTTATCCCCCCTTTGCTGCCTCTTTTGAGTCCAAGGCTAATTCTTTTATCACGCTGGCATTGTTACATAATGATTTGTATTGATTGACGGTACTTGAAAAGGCTGTCTCATTATATAGTGCCAGCAGCAGGTCAGAGGTTGGATAGACAAACCCTCTGCAAGTGAAGAACTTAGAATCCATACCATACAATGTATGCAAAATAAAATGTAACAATGGAAATGAGAGGAGGTTAAAAAAAAAGGAAGGAGCTGCTCTGCAAGCTTTGCGTTGGCTTATGTTACTTAATATTTGTTACGTATTTAAACTTTGTTTTTTTGTGTAAGACTCAGTTATCTGATAAGTTAACCCATCACCTAAAAGGAGTTTTAGGGCTAAGAAGACATAAAAAGATGGTTGCGGCACGAAAGAAGGCCAGCAAAGACATTTTGCAGCGCTCACACATGCATCTACAAGATACAAAAAGCACTTCTTTGTCCTAAATGATACCTTTTAAAATAATATCCATCTGGATGAAAGCAAGAAAAGGAAACAGATCAGAAAATGTGTTGTTTAATCAGCTGCTGCAGCTTGCTCATCACCTGCCTGTCATGGATGCTTGATTAGTTCCTACCAATTGTTCTGTGATGTCTTCTAGATGCTCTCACTGTATTAGGTGACACAGAGAGCAGTAATGCCAGTATATCATGTGGAGAGAAGATGCAAGAATGAGATAAAGTGCTTAGTGACCACACTATTTTTCCTTGTAATATTTAGCATACTTGCCAGAAAACAAAGGAAAATTGCTGAAGAGTATCTTGCTTTAAACCAAGAAACAGAGGTCGGACGCAATATAAAAAGTATGTGTCTAATTTGCTTTTGAGGAATGAAATCCCTTTCTTTGTGGAAGTAGTGAGCTTTTGCTGGCACAAGGTAGTGTGAAGCATCATGCTACATTGAGTAAGGACTGTGTATTCATATGAAGATCACTGGAATTCATAAAATACAGATATCCTCACCTTTCCTCCCCTATTACCATTTCCATTCTTGAAA